AATGTGGCATAAAGATTATTTAGAATTGTTCTTTCATAATATCATTACCGTTTGTTTCTGCGGTCAATGCGTGCCGCAAACTGCGTGCGACCGGCCATTATCACTACCCTCCATCTTTCGTAGTTTAGATATTACAAAATAAATTTCTGCAAAGCAAAGAACGGAAACACATTAGCAATGAACTTTTTGTGAACCCCAATTCAGCATTGTAAGACAGGACAATCGAAGTTTTGTTAAAACTGTAAAAAAACTGTCCGTTTAGTCCTTCGTCTCCCTGTCTGCTTGTCTGCTGCCTGGCTGCCTGTTCATCAGACATTATTGTAACTGCACCTGTTTCCATCGCGTGCTGTGTCGTTAATCTAAGGATATCATTTAGATTAAATTAGATGAAATTACTGTAGGCCTATTATTTGAATTCTATCGCAATCGGAAACCGCTGATCGAAAAAGTAAGGGGCGTAAGATTTTTCAATCCACATAATCCTTATCATTAGTGCTAAAATAAGTGTTATTTGATGACTTCTACGAAACACAGGTTTAATCAATTTGGACTGCATAAAACCCACGCGTGCCATAGTGTAGCAGTTGAAAAAAGTAGGCCCTATCATGTAAATACATGTATATTGTATCATGTAAATATATTGGAAACGAAAACCATTGCACTGAACTATTGTATTGCTGTATTTAGGTGTTTTTTTTGGCAGCAAATACATGCAAAAATCATTCATAAGTTGGTTTTCTTGGTGAGCAAGTAGTATATCAGTAAAATGCATTTTCAGTAAAGTTGGTATTCATGAAACGCAACAAATGTACTCATTGCGACAGTTGAGACGAAACAATGTGCAAAGCTCTTAGTGAAGCATTTAGTGTGGTCTGTCACTATTGTCGCAATAAAATTTTCATAGAAGCTGTTTCCCAATTACTAATTAAAATATACTGAAGGGCAATGAAAGAACGCACAACAGGCAGTTACCTGAAATTTCATCAACTACATGATACACAGTAATAAACTTAGCTGTAGAGGCACGGTATACTGACTGTCACATGCAAGGCCATGTAAAATACATGTATTAGCTGCAGATTACGGGTACCCTTTTCAGTTATTCAATTCAATTATTCTTATATGCTATGAATAATTGAGGTCAGCTTTTGAGTGACAAATAATGTCTTTTCTGACGTCTTTTCTTAGAGGGCGTGAACAAGCACATCTGTTGACAATAAACAAATTCACATAAAGAGCAATGTTTTTAAAAGAGGAATGAGTAGGCTACAAAGGACAATTTACAACTTTTTGCTGGTGCTTTATCTTTAAACAAGCGCCAATTTCGGCTTCTAGGTGCTGGTGTTTTATATATTACTCGGAAAATCTAAGCCTATATGGCATACTAAAACGGCCACAACCCCCCCCCCCCCACACACACACACAGACACACACACAGACACACACACACACACAGATAGGTCATTAGATAAATAGACAGTCATTTGATTTTCTGCCATTTGATTCCCTGGCTTTTTGAAATTTGCCACCCTGGTAGAGGGTACCACACTTCTAAGCTCTAGCGATACTTCCTCATACATGTAGCCATACAGTGTAGAATCAGTGCACGAGAAAGACGGCATCTAAATCTTTCTCTGAGGACATTACAGCTACAGGTACTAAGTTTCTAGGTACTATAAACGTAAAAAATCCGCACTTCCCCTAAAAAAGTGTGATAAAATTTATGACAAATTCGGAATGAACATAATTTTATTTATGAACCTGTGCTTCCCACAAACAACTTTAGTGTTTTTTACTTTTTGGAAAATTTATAGTGTCGTGGACTGTGATAAGGCGCTTTATTGAAACACTGCAGATCACATAAAGAGCAATGTTTTGAAAAGAGGAATAAATACAAAGGACAATTTACAATTTTTTGCTGGTGCTTTATCTTTAAACAAGCGATAATTTCGGCTTCTAGGTGCTGGTGTTTTATCTATTACTCGAAAAATCTAAGCCTATATGGCATTTTCAATAAAGTTAAACATTATCTACTAAAACAACCACACACCCCCCAACAGAAATTGTAACAACGAAACATTCACTCAACTTTTTTGAAATAACTAGAACAGGAAAGTTACAAAGGCATTTTGTTAAAACCAGAACCAGAAGCAATAACATGTAGTATTAGATGAAAATTCCATTGACTTTATGGAAAAATGTCTTTTAACTAATATTGAAGATTGGTTCGTTTATAATTTTCCACCCGAGATATGCATTCCAACATTCTACATCCATGCAAAAAGCAATAATTTTGATTGATCTCTTGCAAGCTATGACACAAAACGCGTTTCTCTTACCAAGAAACTAAAAAATATGAATAATATAAATCAAAAAATAAATAAATAAAAATTAAAGGTAAATTAATGCAAACATGAAATAAAGTAATAGAAACGAATAAGTAAAAAACAATAAGTAAATAAAATACGTAATGCTCGAGTTTAATCAGTCTGAGTGTTATAATAGTAAAGGTAATGTCACTTCTTTGAAACTAAGGAAAAGTTTAATTGACAGATAAATAACTTTTTATTGGTAAAATAAGGAAGGTCTAGTTGTCAACAATGTTATTTTGTTGTTTAATATAATTGGACAGTCACTTACAGGCCATCATTCAAATAAATGAAGTATAATTTGTATTTACAAGTCAAAGAATATGTTTACTAGATATTTATAGGTTAAATCTTTAATCTTATCCGTAGATTATTAAATAACGAGTGTAAGTACCAGATATCTTTCTCCATTATTTCATCAAATCATTTTCGTTCTATCCGGCATAAGATATTTTTCATTTGTGCCTTCGACACAAGTCTATCAGCCCGTGCATCAACTTGAAGCACAATACAGGTTTTAACATCGGTATCTGACATGAAGAAAAAAAAAAAAAAAACTACGCTTCAACATACACGTACGCAAAGAAGTCATCTGCCCAGCTCGTGGCTCCCGTGTGCGGTAGGCCCTATATCAGTCGTCCACTCCAAACCACGCACAACTACAGCAGACTAGTGTATAGCTTACACCAGTGCTACCCCTCGCTGCTATCCAAGATCTGGCTCCCATAATAATTGCATTTCATCCCAAAACATTCGATTTCCTTCACACATGTACATAATTCATATTTATCACAGACGTTCTGAATATACAAGTGACCAAGAGATCTTTATACAATTGAAATACAGGCCATGACAATGCTACTGATTGCCGGGACTGTCTGATCGTCTTCCATTGATCGTCATTATTTTTGATTGCCGAATGCGTTCTTTAGTCTCACTGCCATTGTCCGATTTATCCTATAAAAGTTGTCATCTGGCAAACCGAATATCCACGTAGACACGGCCAATTGATGGGACAGAATCTTTGTCAGTCGTGCTCTTAGTATGACGCGGTGACTGTGATGATTTCCGCACAAGGAACGCAGGATAACTAAGGCACAAACGAGCGCCAATTCCAAACGCTTGTGTTTCTTCTTTCGTTAACTTCATTTCCGCGACTAAGAATATTGCCCCACTTTCCCGCACGCCCTAGAAAAAAACACAAATAATTGTAGTTACAACGTAATTCAGAAAACATAAAGCGCACATTATATCACCTGTTTTCTCATCATAGAAATTTATTTTTGCCAAGACCTGATAATAACTGGTAGAAAAAGTTTTTTTATGTATAAAAGCTCGTTGATTCGTCTGATATTCTTACCAGTTTTTGAATGTAATTTCTATTCTTTTACCAGTTATACATGTATGTAGTCTTTCTTGACTTTGTATTCAGCTACCGTGTATTTTATCAAGCTCTTACTTTGTGTGTTTATGAGTTAGACTGTTATAAAACTTCTTGAATCGTTTATCTTCAATGTTGTTCAACAAAACTTTCGTCGGGAACGAAGTGAACATTTTCTATACTGGTTTTCATACAACTGAAGCTCTAAATTTCTTGAATAGAAAGTTGTAAATTATAAAATCAATTTTTTGTATACAACTACAATGCTACTAGGTATTTCTTTAAAGATCTATACGGTATAGTATCATTTTGTCTACATATTCTATTGTTGAATATTTACTTACATTGCGGCCTCTCCGCATTTTGAGTAGAAGCACATCTTTTTCGAGCACTTCTGGGTAGAAAGGAGAGATGAGACAAGTGGTCGCACTGATGTCTTTGTAAACAGTTATATTCTGAAAATTGAAGTCAAATATTCATCATAATGTAGTGGCCTTTCTAGGAAAACTGGAAAACGGACAGGATTAAAAATACCCATATTAATTAATGGCGTGTGCTAAAAATGAAATTGATTAAATGAATAAAAATTAAAAAAAAAAGAAAGAAAAAAAGAAAGAAAGAAAAGAAAACTAGTCAATTTGGCCAATCTTTCTAAAGAAACTTTTGTTTTTGAGAGTTCAGGCAGTATCATTATTGATAAAATGAGGAAAGGAACTTCTCGCGCTGCACTTTTCTGATAATGCTCAAGTGCTTTATTTATAATGAACCTTGAAAAGTATCGTGTCAGAAAGAATGGGACGAGCTTCTGAAACAATCTTACTCTAATATAGTCCATTAATTTGTGATTCATCGTTACTAGAAAGTGGTACTCACGGTTGTATAGTCATGTATAATGATGACTCTGTCGCTGTCCGGAGTCTCGGGAGTGACAGACATGGAGTACGTGTCTCGGTCATACACAGGAGCTCTGTATAACCTCCCATTCGATATAAAAGTATAGCTGGGAATCTGATGGAAATAAAGAAAATAGTTNATAATGAACCTTGAAAAGTATCGTGTCAGAAAGAATGGGACGAGCTTCTGAAACAATCTTACTCTAATATAGTCCATTAATTTGTGATTCATCGTTACTAGAAAGTGGTACTCACGGTTGTATAGTCATGTATAATGATGACTCTGTCGCTGTCCGGAGTCTCGGGAGTGACAGACATGGAGTACGTGTCTCGGTCATACACAGGAGCTCTGTATAACCTCCCATTCGATATAAAAGTATAGCTGGGAATCTGATGGAAATAAAGAAAATAGTTAAAACAAATATGATTAATATCCACTTTAAATTTTTGATTCAAAAATACCTTGATGGTCAACTAAAAACATTTTCCTTTGCGTCGTATTTCTTCTGTTAGTTATCTAATCTTTACCGGCAACACACAAAAAATCTTTTTTATAGCTTATCATAACTGCCGGCCTGCAGGTGATCCAAGGAGATCCGTTGGACGTTACCTGATATAAATATCGTCTATACGAGCGGGGTTTGTTTACATAGAGATAAGCACACTTTAACTTACTTTAATCATGCGATTCTCATTCTAATATTAAGTTCTTCAAACGTTATACACTAAGGGTAAACACCATTTCTATCATTCTTTTACATTCAGATTTTATCTAAAACGTAAACAGGGACAAACAATTTACCTAACGAGGTTTTGTTGACGACAAATTTACAATAAATTACACATCTTGTTTCTCTTTTGATTTTACGAGCAACTGCAGTGACCATAAATGATATTTATGTTGCAATTAATGATCAGTAGAACAAAAAAGCAGCAGTAAATCAAAAACTTTTTTTTGCACAAAAAACACTCGAGCGGACATTAATCAAATACACAACGAAGCTACTGCTATTTAAAAGCATTACGTTTTACGTAAAGAAAAAAAAAATCAAAAACGCACAATAAGATGACATAAAAAAGGATAAAGCCATTTGTACAAGTAAAAATGATAATATTACATCAAAACACCGCGTTCGCTTATAACACAACATAATTAACGGCTGAATAGAACTCATAGAAAATAATTTCACCAATCTATCTAGATGCATAAATTTAAATTTAAAGTCAAACGCTGGAAAGTTTGATTTACAAAAGGACATGTTCACCTTTGATAAACCATTAATAATGGTTTTTAACATATAAATCCTCTTTTGACTTTGTAGTTAAATTTTCACTTAAAAATCACAATGTTTTACATAAAGTCCCCTTACCGATCTCGCCTTGATTAACGCAAACGCCCAGAAAATCAGTGCGATCCATAATTTCTGCATTCTGTTAAGATGAGTGGTAGACAAGAGGAGCTCTGAAAAGACATGAAACATTCTGAAAATCCTTTTAGTCGTCTGGACAAACGTTCCTTACATTAGACATATGTGGAAATTATTTTGGCAGGATATTATAGTTACAAGCTTGGCAACGAAAGAGGCCAAACCCCTATAATGCGCACGCGGAACAAATTGCCCAAATAGTTACTGTGTTATAATGCACACAGACGCATCTCATTCTGCAATTATTGCCACGTGCCTCAAGTTTACGCGGCTTCGTTATGACATTAATTTCACACAAATCACCCAAATACAATTGTCTGGGGTTTCTTTTTGAACCTGTGCCCACCCATAGTTAAGACGGAGTTTTAGTGCGTCAAATATCCCACAAAAGCATATTCCATGTAATTATAACGTGTCCGAGACAACCCAGGACAGATGGGAGCGCCAGGAACCAATTTTGGATGGTAAGTTAATGCTGAACTCCGAAGTCGAGAAAGTTGGCTCGCTTTTGTTTTAGGAGGACCTCGTAACAGCCAAATCAATTACAAAGGTTACTGAAACTTAAACAGTTTTTTAATGAGTTCTATTCAGGCGAGGAAATTTCAAAGAAAACGAGGCGTCGGAAAGGATGTGCGAACAGCGTTTATGGATTGGCAATCAATTATGTGACTTATTGTTCGTATAATGCATAGCAAATGAGTTCGTGAGAAGAAAACACCGTGCTAATCATGTCCAGACTCCAAGCCAATTGATAAAAACGGTTCACAGATTGAAACACGCAATTTGATAGATAAACTTATATCAATTTTTCCTGCAATTGACCGGATAGACCGAAAAAGAAAAAAAAACCCTCAAAAGTTAGTACTATACAAAGGAAATTTTAGAAAGCAAGTAATTAAAAAGGTGTTTTGGTTTAATGACAAGATGGTTGCTACAAAATACTGTTACAAAATAAATACAGTATACCTGAATATACTTTTCCATCCATTGTTTCCTAATCTTTTTCTCTCCTCGATGATTTCTATTTAAAAAATGGAACTGTTTTCTCTCTTTTTAATATTACTTTCATACAAGATAGCCCATTTGGAACTTTTATACGTGTTCCATAAATTTCACATGCCCCACGTTCGGCTTTTATCGTTTTTGATAAGGAAAGAACAATGGGGCATATTTTATGAAGTTTGAATGTTTTCTACACTGCATAAACTTTTCTTTCAATTACTGGCACACCACAAAAGTATACACTCGTTCACCTAACAGCCAGAAAATAGTTTTTCGAAATGCTTTCGCTTAAATCGAAACGTTCTTATTCTTTCTAAGCTCGGCTCAAGTATAATTAATGGGAAAAATATAACAAAATAATATATAAAGCACATTTTTCAACTTCAGAACCCCAACAAGAACGCAAAAAGTTTGATTCCTCAAGTACTAGTAGCAAACCTACTTTTTAAGTGGTACGGTTCTTCGCTTGACCTGCCTTGACTGAAGAGGCCTTGATTTATCAAAACTTTGTCCCGTGTAAGAATTTGTACAAACGAAGACCGAAAGAAGCGGAAGTTACATCAAATCTTTTTGTCCTAGAATACAGTGTTTCACTGTTTAATGACAGCTGATATGGGGTTTGCCCTGAAACCTTGTTTTTGTTCTTTTTGTTCCGTGATATTGTTTTAGCCTTTTAACCCATAAACTAGGACAAAACCCATTGCGAAGTAAATAGATATACCTAAATATTCCGTTATCAAAGCGAGGGTAGATTAAATAGCCGCACTTAGAGTGAAACGGTAACTCAAACAACGGGCCGTTTTCTGAGACGCAAAGACAGTTTTATGAATGAAAGGGCAGGGATAGACGAGTAGTTCAGGTATCAATGAGACAAACATTATTGTAAATTAAAACTAAAAATGAAAAGGGCAGTGGAATCCTGATAAGAAGGAGAGCACAGCAATATCACGTCTTATAACAACTTTGCCCTAAAAAGACAAATAGTATTCACATCAGTTGTAGTTATCAATGAATTCAAGGAAGGACCCTCCCTTCTCCCCTTCTTATCAGGATTCCACTGTCCAGCACCAATATATATGGATTATACTTATTAAATACATAGAATGCGAATTATTGATAAGAAGTAGTGAAGAATATTTAAATCGCATTTTACACTATTCCACTTAGGCCCATTCTCAATTCTGCCCTATTCATTCTTCAGTAAATTATATCCAAACGCGTTTCAAGACTTTTTTCATGGTACATGAAGCCATAAAATGGCGATAAATAACGAAATTGGTTTTATTCCGTTTACATAAACAACTAAACAATCGATCTCCATACCTTAACAAACGCACATAGCAATAAGTAAGGCAAAGTGTCGCAACGCCTAGTGCTAATGGCTTCTTTTTCATGATATCTCTGCAACTTTTTCAATTAATTTTACCACGTGTCTTCCATATCTCATTTACCAAAACAGTTATATCATGACGAGAAAAAGGACTGAGGCTTAAACTTATGATAAAACATTTATTAAGTTTACATGTATGTAAGCAGACCTGTAGCCAGCAATTTCAAAGGCGGGGTACCTTATTACAGCGAAAATGACTCGTTAATAGTCGCCCTTTTCCCAGCCCAATCCATTCGACGCTACCTTTTCTAAGGGTTTGATAAGGGTGAAAAAATATTTTTCTTCATATGCAGTACTTCACCAGTCGTTCGCAGTATGGCTGGTAAATGGACAAAGTAAATCTTCGCATTTTACAGAAACATTTCAAATCAATGTTTTACGTGTATTGTTTTGCACCATTCCAAGTCCAGTGGAAACGAACAGCGGGGAAGCATAAATGTTTCTTGAAGTATTCATGATTGTGAGAATGAAACTTTTACAATGAAATAGGGTACATGTTCCGAGATGTTCCTCACATAGTTGGGTTCTTTTCTCGAAAAAAATTATACACATGGGGGAAAATCATTGGCGCGAAATAGTCCATGGAATGTTAAGACCATTTGCTCAAGTTTTCGAAACTTTCCCCCTGGTATTCAGTGTTCATTTTAGTATTTCCAGTGATTAAGAAAACGCATCCCAGTACGTTTTCAAGATCCTTGTTCAAAATGAATTGCGATCTTTTGATATTAAAAGCTTTGTGAGCGTCCTCAAAATTCTACTTTTACATACTTTAATGAAGTTTGAATACATCTAAGACTGTATATATCAGTTATGAAATGGTTGTCAATCAGCATCAATTTAGTACCAAATATGCTTTGAAAAACTTATCCCTGAACAGCAATATCTCAACCACGTCTGTACCCGTGTTTAATTAAAAAAGATATCCGAAATGTTCAGGAGATTGCTTGCAAATGTTTTGGCATGGAACGACTGACAGAATATTATCTACAGTATTATCTACAGTATTATCTAGCTATATATCATTTACTGTCAGCCATTTACTCTTTCAACACCCCTCCCTGCGTATATAAAATGTAAAATATAATTGATCAAAATATTAAATCCAGATACCACAATACATACCTGTTTTTTCTAAAAGAATATCTTAGCACATATCCAGCCGTTATGCTTTCCACTTCGGAGTTTCAGGTAATACTCCACTGTAGTTTATCTGATGTCCATTTATATCCCCTGTTCTCATGCACGCATCAATCAGGGCTTAAACAGTTACTTCTATTTTAAAGAATAAAACACCTACACCTTTCTATATTAAGACCTCTTCCAATCAAGCACTGCAATCTGAGCAGACACACGCCGGAAACGCGACTATTATCAAAAGTGTATCTACGACCGTGTTCTGCAGTCGGCGTTCCGCAACGTCACTTTATGTACTTGGCATTAATCACCGTAGAGGAATTACTGATTGGTATGTTTATTGCAAGATGGAAATGGGTCTATCATCTATTTCGTCATTCACGAAGAATTTTGAAGAAATGTTTTAGAGAAGTCTCGACGAAAAATC